CTGTCATAGAGTCTTGTCCCCAGCACTTCCTCTGACCTGATCTTATTTCATTTTAAAACATCTCTCTGCCCCAAAGGCTTGCACACTAATAGCACTTTTGAGAAAGATATATTGCACCATGGGAAATGTTTTAGCTGCTGTAGCTTATTGAAGAGCACTTAATAAATCCAGTGTCTATTGTCAGCTCTGTCATCTAATGGAAATGGGAAGTGCAACACAAGTTCTTAGAATAAATCAGAGATGGGCAACCTGTGTCTCTTAGGCTCATTTGCCTCCCTTGGCCTAATATAATACTTCCTTTGACCCCAACAAGACCTGTTGCAAGAGCTATTTGTCCCTTTCCTAGCAGCCTTCTGGGTGGGGAGGAAGAGAGAGGAAGCAGGGGTGGGGGAGAAGGGGGTAGCAGAAAGAGAGAGAAATAAATGTTTTGCTCTGCCCTTGCTGCCACCTAGCATGCGGCCCCTGACAAATTGTCTCTAAGGAATATACATATTTATTTAGCTAAATTTAATTACCACTTGATTTTAATGAAAACTCTAGTTGGTTTACAAAAACAAACAAACAAAACCCTCATTAGACATTAAAACGATCAATAAAAGACAGGTATTTGAAAATATTCAAAAGATACTTCAAATCAAAGGTAAGCTAAAAAGAGACTAAAACACATGTCCACATTCTGCATGTCTGAGTAAGGTAAAGGTACCCCTGCCCGTACGGGCCAGTCGTGACTGACTCTAGGGTTGCGCGCTCATCTCGCTCAAGAGGCTGGGAGCCGGCGCCATCCGAAGACACTTCTGGGTCACGGGGCCAGCGTGACGAAGCTGCAACTGGCGAGCCAGCACCAGTGCCGCACACGGAAATGTCTGAGTAGGCTTGCCAAATAAAAATGTTTTAAGCAGGAGTTGGAAAGAGTGAAGCAAAGTCACCTGCCTGATCCTGTAGGCAAGGACTTCTAAAGCAGGTGCTGCTGCAACTGCAACACTAAGAGAACAGCTTTTTACAGCTGTGCAGATTTGGTGGGCATACATGGGGTAAGGTGATACTACAATGTAGTGATAAGAAAACGTAGTCATAACGGGGAGAAAGTTGCTCACCTTTGGCATAAATGAACAGATATATTTGACATTTTCAGCAGCTTTTGGGTATCTTTGCTTCAGACTACCTCAGATACCTCCAGCATCTATGGAAAAGCAATGGCTGCCTCACCTGCAGCAGAAGACCCAGAGGGATCCACCATGGATGAGGTCACCGATTCTGCTGTGGCAGCTTCTTCGCCTGCAGAATCAGAGGAGGCTGAATGAGCTCTCAGCCCCATAAAACAACGGTGTCCAAAGGTGGAGGCAAAACTAGCTGTCACAGGTATTGGTTTACTGAATTCCAATGCAATGCTACCCAAACACACTTACTCAGGAGAACAATAATATAAATCACCACTACTGTATTTGAACCACTGAATTTATGTTTTTCATTCACTTGATAACATAGACAGAAACACTCCTATTCAACTGTACTAAAAGCCTTCAGGTTTGATGAAGATGGGTGTAATGTTGTTGAGATGGTTGTGGGGCAACATTTGTCAGACAAATAAAGGCAGCCCAAGTTTGACATGACGCCAGCAAGGCCCTTGTCCAATATATTTTGCTGCCTGGAGTGGTTAACCCCAGGTTAACCAGAAGGTGGGTGGTCCGAGCCCACCCAGGGGATGTTGTGGGCAGGATTCCTGCATTGTAAGGGGTTGGACTAGGTGGCGTTCCACCCAACACTACAATTCGATGATTCAGTGAATAGAATCTGAACTGGCATTCCTCCTGCACCTCACCTCAAAACCGGCCATGGGGCAGCGTCCTCCACTGCACTTGCTTGCTACACCTTGCTTGCTGCCACTCATTTACCTACCTGCAGAATGGCTCCCACTGCTGCCCCCTCCTCACTCTGCCTAATGGTAGGTTTCACCCTCCCTCATGGTGGGTAGAGCCAGCTTCTTCCGTCAGCTCAAGCAGCTGGAAAGATCCATTACAGAATTCTGGAAGCTTTTATCTCTAAAATTGCATTTCTAGCCCATCTGGAAAACATTTGCTTTTAAACAAAGCCATGAAAGAAGCTCAAAAAGTTATCGCTGGAACTTCTCCTAATACAAAACTCTTCCCTCAAAATTCCCTGGTTGCTTTGCTTGAGCAGCAACATCTAAATCCCCCAAATCCCACTGTTTTGTGGTGAAATTTTAGTGCCCAATGCTAACCTCATTCTCTTATTACTGTTGCTGAGAGAAGCATCTGCTTTGTGGAGAGGGATAAAGGACCCCTGACCATTAGGTCCAGTCATGGCCGACACTGGGGTTGCGGCGCTCATCTCACTTTATTGGCCGAGGGAGCCGGCGTACAGCTTCCGGGTCATGTGGCCAGCATGACTAAGCCGCTTTTGGCGAACCAGAGCAGCACACAGAAATGCCGTTTACCTTCCCGCCTATTTATCTACTTGCACTTTGACGTGCTTTTGAACTGCTAGGTTGGCAGGGGCAGGGACTGAGCAACGGGAGCTCACCCTGTCACGGGGATTCGAACCGCCAACCTTCTGATCAGCAAGTCCTAGGCTCTGTCGTTTAACCCACAGCGCCACCCGCATCCCTTGTGGAGAGGGATACAAATAGTTTAAACTTTAAACAAATCCAATGTGCCTCCAAGCCCAAGAGTCCATTTAAAAATGCATATAAGAATTAAAGGATCCATTGTCCCCAAATCAGCTTCTCATGTTACATCGTATGGAAGCTGTTTTCTGTGAACCACCCTGAGACCTGTGGGTAGAGGGCGGTATAGAAATTCAATTAATAATCATAATCACAGTTTATAAGATATTTTTCTCTTTTAAGCTGCCTCTTCAAGTGGCTAGGGCTGAGGCTACTGTAGCTATTGTCTGGGAATGAAAAGGAGCCTGGGGTGTGATAAATGACCTTATGGATTGCATATGCAGCAATTTGCAACACATGAAAAATCTAAAGGTGAGATTGAAATAGTTTCCTGCATAACTAACATCTACTGCATTGCGGGGAGTGGGGTGGGGTGAAGGCTAATAGCTGAATCAATCCCATTGAAGGAAGGTGAGGACAGGTGACCTCACCTAGGCCCGAAGTCACCCCCCACCAAAGCAGGCTCAAAGCTTCTCAAAATCATTTTCTCAGCAGCTAAGCATCAGAAACATTCCGCTCTGCTGTAACAAAGGTAGAGAACAGTCCACTGTTTCTCAGGCCTTTCTCATGCTTCTGGCCTTGCTAAAGAACCACATTGCAACTTACTTTCTGTCCGGGAACCATGCCAGAACAAGAGGTTGAAACATATCTGAACACACTGAAACCCCCTCACCCCCTTTCCTGCCAAGAGTCCACAATAGTCCCAAGACAGCTTTCTGTTCATGCTCAGAGGAACCTCAACATGGGGCAGGACTCCTGAGGGAGGAGAAAGGGGGAGGGAACTGGAAAGGGGTATATATGCTTGTGCACATGATTGTGAACTCGTGCATGCTTTTGTGGACTATCACACTTGCTCCTTCTACCAGTTCATGGTAGAAATAAAAGCCTTTTCTCCGAAACTATTCCTTGAGTGTCTGTTGACTCCCATTTCCCTTTCCCAGGCGCAATATTTTCCCCACCCGAGGGCAAATCCCCATAAGGCTACACCATCTAATGCTGTGTGATGCGTAAATTTGGTTTTGTTAGCTTAGAAGCTGATATGCATGAAATGACTTTTCAATTTTGTTGGTTTGCTCAGAATTTGGTGTGCCAGGCCATTTTTTTCCTGGAATATCACCTGTGGTTCAGAATTGGCATCAGAATATGATTTGGGTGGGTTTTTCTTCTTCTTCTTTGGTTACCAGTACTTGCTGCATTAACATGACTTGTGCATCTGCTAGGTTTGGCTAACTCAGGAGTACAATAAATGTTTTCTATGGGTTCTTGGTGTGAAAGGGTCAATACAGCAGCATAGCATATGTTGCCAGTGCCCAGGGCAGGCAAGCCGCTGTTGCTGCCACAGCCCCCCCCCCCAGCCAAGTGGTACCATGCTGTGCCGCCTGGCCGTGCAGGAGGAGCACGCCCGTTGACGTGGCCCTTGGTGAAAGAATCCCCCCTCAGCGAAGGGGGGGTGCCCCTCCTCACAGGGGTGCCCACTTGAATAAAAACCCCACCGCACATAATCAATCATTTGCATGGCAATGTCCATCAACTTGGCAGGGCCACCCCCTCATATATTTTATTAGGCAGGCCAAAGACCCCTCGGCTCCAGGAGTTGGCTCCCATGCCTCCTCAGAATTTTGTGCAATGTCCATATTTTCATTGGAGAAATGTTGGGAGGGGATGGAGTTATCTGACCCCCGAGGCATCTGAAGGCAACCCTGTAAAGGGAAGGGTTTCTAAAAAAAATGTCTAGTGCTTTATTGTTTTTATGCATGTTGGAAGCTGCCCAGAGTGGGTGGCAATCCAGTAAGATGTGTGGAGTATAAATAGTAATATTATCCTTATGGAATGGGACGTCCCTATTTTCATCAGAGAAATGTTGGAGGGTGTGCTGTATTGGAAGGACTTCGCTTCTAAAATATCGCCCTCCAAGGACTGTAAGGTATCTCACGGCTTCGGGCATCAGTTTTACGGAGAAAGGAGGCCTTCGATGATCCCATGCCCTAAGTTTACTCTGGAGCCCCGTCGAGCATCCTGTCAGCCTACGTCTCAAAACACGAAAGCGCTCTATACGTCTGGGTCGAATTGATTTGAAGATGTCTTTGTCCTGGGGCGCGCTCCAGTATGCCGGCTGGGAGGGAAGGAAGCGCCCCCAGTTTGGCGGGCGGGCGGGCGAGGAAGTGGCCAAGTGAGGCGAGCGAAACCGGGAGCGACGAGCCGCGCCTGGGCTGGCCCTCGGGACAATGCGCTCGGCGAGCGCGGCGCCCGGGTGGCGGGAGGAGCTCAGCCCCTGCCGGGCCCTGCGCCGCCCTCGAAAAGGGGCCCGCGCGGCGGAGCGGAGGGAGCCAACATGGCCGCCCGCTGCAGGCCTCGCCTGGTCCTGGGAGCCCGCGCGGGGGACACGCCAAGCAGCGCCGCCCTGAGGAGATGCGGGGCAGAGGGGCTTCGTCTGAGGGAGGAGGAGCCAGAGGGCGGCGCCCCCTCCCCTGGGCAGAGGAGCAGGAGGCGGGGCTTCGCCGGAGGAGGCGGGGCCAGGCGCTATAAAGACCCGCGCCGGAGGGCCGGCTCCTCCATTCCGGCGAGGGGCCAGAGCTTCTTCACTCGCGCTTCTCCGGCGATCGCTCGCTCGCTTGCTTTGTGGGCTCTTCCGCGGCGCGCTCCGACCACGCTTCCGCCTCGTTCTCCTCAGCGACTCTCCTCCGGCGCGATGATGAACGGTTTCCGCGACAGCAGGATCGATGAGGGCACCTTCCTCTTCACCTCAGAGTCGGTGGGGGAGGGGCACCCAGGTGAGCGCCCTCGCGGCAGAAGGAGGCGCGCCGCGCGCCCCGCGGGTGGGGGGACCGACTGAGGGGCCGGGGGCGCGCGCGCGGCTGGCCGACGGCTCTCTCGCTGATTGGCTGCCGTGCTGTGGCGCGCGCCCTCCGGCCGCCTGGCTGGCTCGCGTCCGGCTCTCGGAGGCCCGCTTCGGCGGCTGAGGGAGGGGGCAGCGCCACGAGGGCGCGCGGGGGGGGCCCTGGGGTCTCGGGCGTCGCTTCCAGGCTCCGCTCGGCCGCCCCGGACAGGAGCGGGGCTTCCCCGCTGCCCCCCTGGATTGCGGGGGGGGGGCGGGCAGGGTAACAAAGGGAAAGCGCGCCATGGCGGCATGGGAGGGAGACGGTGAAAGCGGGCTCGGAGCGCGCTCTCCCGCCCGGTGTCGGGGACGCGCCCCGCATTGCAGGCGACCACGTGGTAGCCGCATGGCGCGATCTTGGGAGGGACGATGGATGGTAGGAAGGGAGCAGCCCCTGTGAAAAGGGATTTTGTGTGTGTGGAAATGCAAGAAAGAAGCCGGAAGCCCAAAACTGCAGCGCGGGTGGGGGAGACCAGGACCAGGCGCCTGCCTTTTACAGACAGAAGCAGGTGGGCTTTTATGTAAGTGCGCACAATCACGTATCTGTCTACGTTACACAGAGTCAAAAAGCAATTCAAAACTACACAGAGCGGAAGAATTCGTTGTCGGCTCAAAACGGTCTGGATGCCCAACGACGCAGGAGGAGGAGGAGACTTGCGCTTTCATTGTCCTTCTCCGCCATGATGTCTGGGCAGAGCCTGCAGCATGGATAGAGGGAGGGAGTTGGAGAAGGCTGTCCCCGATCTTGGTGGCTGGGCATATGTGCTTTTTTGTACTATTCTAAAGATAGCCTTTGCCAGGAGGCTGCATGGGAACAAGGGCTCTTTGATGCAGGGGAATTCAGCTTTGGCCATTTCCTTTGCTGCAGGAAAGGGGGGGGAGGTGTTGCACCTCTGTTTCTGCCATGTGGTGGTTGAACCCATGTGGCTCCATTGAAGAATAGCACCGTGTAGTGTTTTCAGTTGGGGGGGGGACGACTGCTGGATATCCGGCTTCTTTTTGCCTGAGTAGTATGCAGAGAACATGGCAGAAAAGCATCGCTGGTGCTTTTATTCTGTTTTCCAAGACACAGTGAATGACATCTGTTCTTCTGACTTTGAAATCCACAATTCTAAGTGCCTGTTCTTTATACTTGCTAGACCTTTGTTCCCTCTGTAAGTCAGTCCCCTAGGGAGCTATTTTAGTTTCTTGTTTAGAAATTGCCCACTATTTTTATGTGCTTAAATTTCTGTAAAATATTCTGATTTGGGCTTTCTGACTATGTTCAAGTTCTTTATACTGTGAAACTAGTCAAATGAGTATGTCATGCAACTGAACTTTATGTAGATTAGGCATTTGTATTGACGACTTAGTACCTCTTGATAGAATAAACACTTTAAGCACAACATCCACCTTTGGCACGACTGCTTAGAGCTTCTTCATTTCTGGTTTAGGTGGAACTCCAAGCTGGAGGTCTATTTTATAATACTGTAAAATGTTCATTTAGTACAAGTGGTGTGTACAGCTGTGTATCTTCTGTCTCAGACTTAGCCATATTTAGGAATCGTGTGCTGGTGGTAATTTATCCTTACTTGTTCTCTCTGGATTAGATATAGGATATAGGATGACACTAGTCTGCATTTATAGCCTGCAGCCTTGTGTGCAGACAATGCTTCTGGCAGTAACCTGTTATACACATTAAACAAATTGATGGCTTTTGAAGTATGCCTTAGAATTTCTGTTAAATATTTCTCTTAAATAAAGACTTCATGTGTCTAGGCCACTAGCTGAAGTGTTGGTGGTGGGGAGCCTTATTTGTGGCACGTTGGGGCCTCAGAGGTAACGAGATGGCTAAATCTTGACCATTGAATGAAATGGTAGATCACATCTGAAGAATGGCTGTTAAGGACTATGTGTCAGGCTGTGTTGATCACTGAAGCATACGTAAGGGGTTGTAAAGCATTTTGGCAAGACTTGAGTGCTCTATAATAAATTTCATGGCAGTGTGGGTTGACTTTGCTGGTTGAAAGCAGTTCCAATTTCAAAATGGTAAGTACAGTCGTACCTTGGAAGTTAAATGGAATCCGTTCCGGAAGTTTGTTTGACTTCCAAAACGTTTGGAAACCAAAGTGCAGCTTCTGATTGGCTGATTTTGATGTTCGAGTTCCAAAGAATGTTCGCAAACTGGAACACTCCCTTCCGGGTTTGCTGCATTCAGAAGCCAAAACGTCCGAGTACCAAGGCATTTGGGATCTAAGGTACAACTGTAGGATTAGATTATGTAAAGTTCTACAGAATTGAGTGGGCGTTTTGTAACCAGGTCCTTTCATTCTGCTTATAGAAACTCAGAGTCATCAATGCAGTATTGGAGCGATTGAATCTTAATGCCAAGATGCACGGTTGGGTGTGAGGCATTATTTGTAAAGGGCAAATATAAGGGCAGCAGAATAAAAGGCAACATGTATACCTTGAAGGTGCAAACTGTGCTTGGATGCACAGCATTAAAATTTCATCTCAAACAGTGCAGTTTCCATGTGGAAACCAGTGGGTAGGAAATACAGAGAGCTGCAGGGTTTAGTCAACCAAAACTAGCTTGAGAACTGCGGGACACCTGTGCAATTCTGAGGATAATTTTGTTTGTGTGTCTAGAGGGAATGAGGAAAGCTTGAACTTGTGCTATCAAGCATTGGCAAGTTTTGCTTAATTATAATTTTCCCCACTTCATTCATTGGTGCCTAATTACTTCCCAGGGTTTCTGCTGAACCATTAATTGTGAATGCTGGGTCTTTTTGTTGTATTGTTGGTATAAGTCATTAAGGTCAAAACTAGCAGTTGCAACAGGTCAGCAGGAACCAGTGGCTGTTCCTAAACCAAGGTCTCCTATAAAGTCCTCTATCCATGTCTGTTACCAGAAAACAAGCAGATCAAGCTTTCCTGGGAAAGGGAGTTCCATATTGACACAAACAGCTGTTCTTTAATTGGTTGATGATACCAGGAAAAAAAGTGGTAAAAGGCTCAAACACCTGCATGGGTGTTGGCTGAATACTTTTTTAACATGTGAAATAGTGGCAACCTTGAGGTCTGAAAAGTAATGGAAGCTGTTTCTGATTTTAGATAAGATCTGTGACCAAATTAGTGATGCTGTCCTTGATGCACATCTTAAACAAGATCCGGATGCCAAAGTAGCATGTGGTAAGTTCCCTTGACCATTATGGGAAGAAATGGAATCTATTGGGAGTGTGGTCAAAGAACTGCAACTCCTCTGTACTTTGAGTTGACAGTTCTGGTTCTGTATTATTTTGCAGAAACTGCTGCAAAGACAGGAATGATCCTTCTGGCTGGGGAGATCACGTCTAGAGCTGCGGTTGACTATCAGAAAATTGTTCGTGAAACAATAAAGCACATTGGCTATGATGATTCCTCAAAAGGTAAGCAGATTGGATTGCTTCTGGCCGTTTTAATTTTGAATAGAAATGTTGACTGTTAATAAGATTGGGACTTACAAGCATTATGTATGCGTCCTAGGTTTTGACTACAAGACATGCAATGTATTGGTTGCCCTGGAGCAGCAGTCCCCTGATATTGCTCAGGGAGTTCATCTTGACAGAAAGGAAGAAGACATTGGTGCTGGGGATCAGGTCAGTGTTATGAGAGGCTGCGGATGACTCAAAATTTGTTTGTGGTGTACATTCTTAAAACTTCACCTTGGGAAGCTGAAATTCATATCTTGGTTTGGTTACAAAAATAGGGCTTGATGTTTGGCTATGCTACGGATGAGACGGAAGAGTGCATGCCCCTGACTCTTCTCCTTGCACACCAGCTGAACGCCAAACTGGCAGAGCTTCGTCGTAACCATACCTTGCCCTGGCTACGACCAGATTCTAAAACTCAGGTAAATGTCTTTAACTTGCGTTGTCTTTAACATTGAAAGGTCTTGAAAATGGAAATCATATTCAATCTTCTATTAAGGCCTTTTAAACTACAATCAAAGTGTATGAAGAACTTGGACATGAAATAATGCAAAAATTATGTTTTCCTTGATTCCCTTTTAGGTGACTGTGCAGTACAGACAAGACCGTGGTGCAGTCATCCCTATTAGAGTCCATACAATTGTTATTTCTGTTCAACATGATGATAAAATTGGGCTGGATGAGATGAGGGATGCCCTGAAAGAGAAAGTGGTCAGAACTGTTGTACCTGCAAAATACCTGGATGATGATACGGTCTACCACCTGCAGCCTAGTGGCCGTTTTGTAATTGGTGGCCCCCAGGTATGATGAAGGTTGGATTCTTGTCCCTTGCTTAATCTGTACAATTGATGGTACCTTATTGGAAGATCTCAGCTACAGTGTTACAGTTCAGAAGCATCATGCTTTTATGACAAATCAAATGCCTTTGCTCCATATGCCATCTAGAGTTCTAGTGTCACACAGCACAGTTCTCCTTCTGGTAGCTTTGCCTTGCTATAGACTAGGGGTGGAGAGCCTATGAACTGGCACATGTTATTGGACTAAAACTTCCTCCCCTGATCATGGGCCACGTTGGGGGCTGGTGCCAGTTCACAATATGGAGAGCTACGGGTTCCTCATTCCACTCTTATAGACAGGTGGTGTTGTCTCCAGTCAGATGAGATGGACTCTGCAGGAAGGTTGGCAAATAAATAATGAAAAAAATTGCCAATTTCAGGGAGATGCTGGCTTGACTGGCCGGAAGATCATTGTTGATACCTATGGTGGCTGGGGAGCTCACGGAGGTGGTGCTTTCTCTGGTAAAGACTACACAAAAGTTGACCGTTCAGCATCTTACGCTGCTCGCTGGGTTGCAAAATCCCTTGTGAAGTCTGGTCTCTGTCGGAGAGTGCTGGTTCAGGTATGTTCAGTCTGTTGTTTCTGGGCAACGAGATGCATTTTCCCAAGATTTGCAACATTAGTGTTTTCTTCAAATGAGTATTTGGGGTTTAAGATGTTAGACTTTGATAGTGTAGTTGCACAATTTATTAGAAGCTGGGAAGTGTGTACAGTTGGCACTTTCATGATTTTTAGGCAGCTGCAATGCAGCAGAGATGTAAATCAGGTGCTGGTAATGCTCAGCTGTATAACAGCTGCTTCTGAAAAATGCGGTCCTTGTATTAATACACCCAGCACCTCCATGATTCTTGCACCTGTAATCAATGCCACAGTAAATCTCAAATGCTGCCTTGCAGTGGCTATTGCAATCCTTGCCAGGTTTCTTAGACTACAGCTCCCAATGTCCTTGACCATTGGCCATGGTTGCTGGGGCTCATGGGCATCCCAGCAGCATTTGGATGATGCCACATTTCCAGCTCCTGCTCTGGCAAGAGTTACTTGGGTGCCGTGCAGTATTTGATGTGTGGCTGTGCTGTTATGCGTCTTGTCAAAGCTTGGGTTCTAAAATAAACACAGCAGGAAAGGTAAGTTGGATGAAATAAGCATTCAGAATTCATTATGGAGGTACAGCTTAAGGATTAGTAGTAAAAACAACTGGCCAGGGAGTGTGGGTTGAAAGGAAAGTTGAGAGGAAAATATTGGAATAATGGTGTGTGAAGAGGGAGAAGAGAAATGGGATACCCTACAAAGTAGCTGAAACCACACATTTTAATGCTTTTGGTTTATATTAACTTTGCTCTTAGGTCTCCTATGCCATTGGAGTGGCCCACCCACTGTCAGTCTCCATTTTTCATTACGGCACCTCCCAAAAGACTGAGCATGAGCTGCTAGACATTGTGAAGAAGAACTTTGACCTCCGCCCAGGGGTTATTGTCAGGTAAAACATGGTGGTGCATGCATGTAATATTCAGACAGATAAAAAAGAGGTAATAAGGATGGGACTAGGCATAAACAAGGCATTACCATTTGGCAGTCTGCCCTGAATGTACATGATGTTGCACAATCTCCTACCATAGACACTTGTCAAAACACCTAGTCTCCTGGGGAGTGGTGGAGACAGTTCCCCAGCACCGCTGTAGAGGAGCTTTGGGGTGGTTCATTTTTCTAGAGATAAAACAAAGTAGTGCTTGCTCTTTAATATCTAGTACTTAAAGCAGAATGGTGTGCTAGTCTGTGCCTCTTTGTCACTGTATAGTAAGGCAAATTAGAGTTTATGATGTCACATGCCAGGGTAAGGCACAGAAAATGAGAAATATCTTAGAATAGCACATTTTGGGGCAAAGGTGGCTGATAACAAAGTAGCTTGTTGCTGTCTGGCCATGATCCCCAGCCAGTTTGGAATTGCACCATTGGCATACATACCCAATATTGAAAAGCTATTCTCTTTTAATGCAGCAAGTGGTGTATAGATACAGTAATATTAAATACACCCTTGCAAATTGGCACAGCCCTTGTGGCTCTTGCACTGATTTGGAAAGTATGGATAGTGCAGGGATATGAGGATTTCTGTGAGTTATTACAGGCTCCTCTTGGACACTTCAGTCATGTGCTTTTGAGTATTAAAGCTCATTTTCCAGAGATCTTCTGGGTATTTTGGCCTAGCCACTGACACCCAAGGCCAGCTATGTTGTACTGTCCTGGAATCAAAGTGTGAAGTTGTGGGTGCTTAGCTCTGCAAACATGGGTGTTCTGAGTGGTGCTGCTGCTGCCTACACTGACTAACTGCTTCTAAAAGCTCCAAGCTGGAAGTAGGCAGTTTTGGTTGTAATATGAGCTGATTATTCAGATAGGGAGTCCCATTCCCAGTGGAGAAACTTGTGGTGATCTACAGTTGGATGTAGCCACTCATAATGGAGGGTAAGTATTCTGTAATGTCAGTTGAGCCCAGGGGCTTAGTTTCCTTGGGATGTATTTGCATTGGCACCCAGAATTGGGAGCAAATGGGTCCCATCTACTTCCTGTGTACAAAGTAGCCGTTGGTCCATGACTTGGGACTACAGCATTGAACATCAAGTGGCCCCTTCAGTGTAGCTGGTTTTTGCTTTGCTTGATAAATGCCTTGTATTGAGTTACGGACTTGTATATTCCAGGGATCTGGATCTGAAGAGGCCTATTTATCAGAAGACTGCAGCCTATGGCCACTTTGGTAGGGACAACTTCCCATGGGAAGTGCCCAAAAAGCTTAAATACTGAATATGTTGGGCTTCTTTCCCCAGACCTGTTGGTGTACATTACAGAGAAACCTCCAGGCTTTTCTGTGGGAAAGAGCACCATTCCCTAAACTGGTCCTGTCCTCTGCTCTTAATTTGGCACATTCTGTCCATTGCCATGAATATTAGTCCTCCGGGGACCGCAATTGCACTGTGCTTTCTCCTCTTCCTGGTGTGCTTGACGTATGTGTAGAGCCAGTTGAGCATAGGCGCTATATGTAAAGCAGAAGAACAGGCTGTAGTCAAAACAGTGCTTCAGTCTAATCCTTTGTATTGCCCAAAGGCTAATGAGAATTTCCTTTCAACAATGAGCAAGATGCCTCCCTCCTAATGTGCACTGCGTGGTTTCACATAGTCCCTGTCCAGATATCTAGAGCAGGATGGTGCAATGATTGGACCCCCCCCCCCCGATCTCTTGTGAGTGAGTCATCGCCGCCTTAGCAGATGGCCCTGCATGCTCCGCAAGTTCCATTTTGGAACTCTTGTGTGGTTTTTAATTGAGGCAATTTTGGTCCCACAACTCATGGTATTATTCTCTTAAAATCAGTCAGCACCATACCTTAATCATTTTCTGCTCTTATCTTCTTGGGGGATGTACGTAATAAAGGTTTTTTTTAAAAAAAAAATCCTATGCACAGTTTTAGCACTAGCCAAACCTCACCATCTTTTATTAAGCGGGCCCTTGGCCAGCCTTGTGATGTACTGCAGAGAAGTCACAGGGTTGTACCTGAGGTCTGTAGGCTGCATACTTTTGGCACCTGGAATTTTTTTCTTTAGAAGAGCCAAGAATTTCATGTTGCACAAAACTCCCAGGGTTTATTTTCAAAGCCAGGTCCAAACTGCATTCTGAAGTACTGGCGTAGCTACAGAGAAGCCAGGTCCCTTCAGAGTGTAAGTGCATTTGGAAAGGACGTGGGGGAAAACCCTACATACTTGAAATTTTTTTATACTTGCTTATTTATTGTGTTTGGGATAGGGTGTGAGTACAGAGAAGCCCTGGTCTCAAATGGCAGCTTTTTAACTTTATTTTGACACCATAAATTCCTTGACAGTACCCAGCATTCCCTGATAGGCCAAGGTGTCCTACAGAAAAGCCTTGGGTCACAACCTGCAGGGGGTCTGGCTTGTGTAAAACAGGGGAGGGCAGTGCTCAGGATAACTGGCCTTGGGAGAGGCTGACTTGGCTGGTGTTGTACAGAGAAACCAGCTTGTTTACCTGCCCATTCCATGGCAAGTGTCCTAAGCAGGAAGTGCCTTTTGCGTTCCAATTTTTTTTCTGGGCGTTTATTACGTATGTCTGGTTCAATTCCAAGTTGATTTTAAAGTTCTTAATAAAGTGCTAGGTTCTATCTTACTGTGTTGTGTGTCTCTGGTTTGAATGTCAAGGTTGGAGGTGTACTAAATCAGGAATAAGAGGCTCTTGCTATAACTTGCATTGTATACAGAAGAGGGGAAACAAAGGTTGAGCAGGATGCAGAAGTTACCTGCATTTTGGAAGTTTCTTGAATGCACACACCATTCTTTATGAATTCATGCCTGAGTTGGAGCTTGATGCCAATGCATTTGCTTCACTACCTGTGTTAGGATTATTTTAATACTTGACTGTATCCACACCTGCAGAATGCACACTGTGCTGTTCTCAACTTGTGCAAAATTGGTTATGCAGGTGGCAGCTTAAAACAGCTGTGCAAGCAACAAACATATAAAAACTATGGACAAGTAGTTATAGACATAGATCACCTGGAGCTGTAAGGGGAAGGAGCTAAGCTTCATATGCTGCCGGTAGCACCACCACCATTGTGGCAGCAAACTACAGTGGTACCTCTGCTTACGTACTTAATTCGTTCTGGAGGTCCGTTCTTAACCTGAAGCACCACTTTAGCTAATGGGGCCTCCCGCTGCTGCTGCTGTGCCGCCACCATGCGATTTCTGTTCTCATCCTGAAGCAAAGTTCTTAACTCAAGGTACTATTTCTGGGTTAGCGGAGTCTGTAACCTGAAGCGTATGTAACCCGAGGTACCAATTACAGAGAAAGTAATGAAGGTGAGAAGAAAAAAGGGTGTATGAACAGACCACTTGATGTTGCAGGTACTGATCAACTTCCCAGATACCACCCACTTCGCTGGCCTATTTTGAGTGTTTGAAATGTTTCTATTCCATTCATATTTTTAGAGCAGGTTGACTTGCTGAATATGGCACTATCCTGCATGTGGTGGGGTGTGCTCTCTAGCTGCTACTTTATTGAGCTCACTGATGGTACTCTCAAGATAGCCAGAAACTTTCTCGGATTCAAGTTTTATTGCATTGTACAGCTTGTTCCCTCCTGCGAACCTGGTGCAATAAGGGTGAACATTCTGTGGTGCATTTGGGTTGAACATTCAGCTCACTGCCCAAGCCCACTGGTTCTGTAACTGACTGGAGAGCACATGTAGATCTTTGCCATTGTTCTGCAATGCAGGAAGATGGTTGAGATCCCTGGCTGTTGCTGTCCTGCTCTATTTGGCCCAAATTCATTTCTTTTGTCAGCAGTTAATGGGCTTCTACCTCTGCAGGCAGGTTCAGATCTGAGCAGGAACAGTTGCCTGCTGTGTCTCCTTTGTTGCTGTAAGGCATCATTCAGCCCCACCTTCCTGTCATCTTAGATCTAGGGGTCCCCTCCAGGCACAAGTGGAACATTTGTAGTATAAAACATTCCATTAGGAAGCTTCAGGACAAGCAGCATATGTCTGTTGGGGATGATGGGAGCTGGTAAAAGGCTAATTTTGGACAAAGCAGAGTCAGCAAAGTCACTAGGAAGCATCTATGACAGTAATGGCCCACTGTTCAAAACTATTTGCCATCAGAACCGTAGCATAGGTCCTGAAATATGTATCGGGTGTCGAAGGTCCTGAAGAAGTGCCTTTTCGGCATATGTCAGATGCTATACAATAATCATTAGATGCACCTTTGTGGGGAGGGATTTCTGTCATTTCGGAGCAGCTTTTCCCCCAGTCTGCCATTCCCTGTGCTGCTCAGGATAATCAAACTTGCTAGAATGTTGCTGTTACTAACATCTGTGAGGGATTGTAGGGAAAGAGACAAGGTATCTGAACAGGGCTTCTAATATTTGCAAAAAGGCCAGTGTGACATCAAGGGTAATCCCTAGTTCCAGGAAGGCATCGTGGAGAATAAGGCTATTGGCTGCAAGCCATGACTCTGCTACCTCAACTATATGGATGTGAGCCTCTTGAATTGGGCCTAGAAGCAAATAGGCAACCAATGTGCTGTTTTAAAAAGGCTCATTGTTGTGGGAGCCTGTCACACATTGTCTGCTGAGCCCAGTCCCTGACCTACTGCCTGTGTAAACTGCTTCCTCAGCTAAAGCCTTTAAGCTGCTTTCCCCACAGCTCTGGTTCTAAAGTGTGTCAGGCAGGCCCGTGAGATCCATTCTAGGCCTTGGTGGCAGCTGCCAGTCTGAACAGCAGCTTTGTGGCTGTGGTGAGATTTTAGTGTAAGTGCAGGAACATGCAGAAATACTGTTTAAGGAAAGACCATTGAAGTATTTCCGCTTTGCCTGGCCTGTAAGTTGATCTCTCCTGGTTCTAAGCTACTGGAATGTGAATTAATGAGTAATCTATGAGGAACGGCTAAGGGAGCTGGGCATGTTTAGCCTGGAGAAGAGGAGGTTAAGGGGTGATATGATAGCCATGTTCAAATATATAAAAGGATGTCACATAGAGGAGGGAGAAAGGTTGTTTTCTGCTGCTCCAGAGAAGCGGACACGGAGCAATGGATCCAAACTACAAGAAAGAAGATTCCACCTAAACATTAGGAAGAACTTCCTGACAGTAAGAGCTGTTCGACAGTGGAATTTGCTGCCAAGGAGTGTGGTGGAGTCTCCTCCTTTGGAGGTCTTTAAGCAGAGGCTTGACAACCATATGTCAGGAGTGCTCTGATGGTGTTTCCTGCTTGGCAGGGGGTTGGACTCGATGGCCCTTGTGGTCTATTCCAACTCTATGATTCTAAATACAGTTCTGTATCATGGGCTCGATACAGACCTGGGCTGAGTACTCTCCTTCCTTCTGGTGGATTGTAGCCTGAAGCTGCAGTTCTGAGAATAAGCTTCATTGTAAACTAATTTTGTAGTTATCCTTTAAAATAGAATGTCCATTATTCATTCACACACTTTAAAGTATTAAAGTGCATTAAAGTATTCATTGCATTAAATTTATTCTGTTGTTTTTCAGACCTCATTTGCAGCATTTTAGTGAAACAAAATGCAGTTGCAGTTCTAGGCTGTTGAATGCAGAAACGCAAACTTCTCAGTTTGAGGACTAGTGTCTTTTACTGACAGATTCCTCCTTGCAAGTCATTTTAATATTTTCCGTTCCAGTGACTAGGGGATTACTTATAATTTGCCCCTTAACAGGTTTCCTTCCTCAGCACCCCCTTTCCCCCTTTTATAGCAAAATGGCTCTTATTCTGCAAGAAAAAATAATAATGAAAGGGAATCTGTAAGATTACACCTTGCCCCAAGCAACAAAATTAAGCAGCAATTTATTGCTGTTATTGCAACTATTCTCAACAGGGAGCAATAAAATAGGAAACTCAACATTGGAGACTTTGCTGAATAGGATTTCACAGTGAGCAACCGTAAGAGGATCTTGGCTGTGGAGACTTGCTTGATAATATAGAGCTATTTTAAGTGCTGTCTAGAGCCTCCCTTTTTAATCCAACTTGCTATGAAAAAGCACTGCCTTGACCATGCTGGAAGAGAGCAGTTGTGATAGGACCGGGTTGCATGGGATACACTTGGTGAAAACAACAATACAGGCACCTGCGTGTTAAAAACTGAATGACTCTTATCAGTAGCTGGGAAATGCATTAAAAATCTGACTGTCTTGACCTGTAGCTGTGTCAGAGTGATAAGTCCCCTCTGCTCTGAAATCACTTGTGGTCGTAGGAAGGACCCTCTAGCCTTAGCCTCTCATCTGCTACATAGAGGTAATGTGACTGGCCTACCTTACAGGGTTGCTTATAAGGATTATAAGCTAATCGATATGAAACACTTTGAACACACAAAAGCAGCAGATAAGTTCTACATGTGATATTTTAGAGACCACTGTTGCTCGGCAAATCTCTCCTGATAGGGAATTCCATACATCTGAAGAGACAGACTTGATCAGCTCAGTTGCTCTCATTCACAAAAGCTAGATCACTGGACAAGGCCTCTTCCACTGATTTTAAGCGAAGGAAACTAAGAGTTTTGCTTGCTTGTCTGTGTATAAAGAGCTGGGAACAGCATTTTTAAAAAACCAGAAAGATTCAGCTCAGAATTTGTTGCCTAAAGGATCTCCATTGGCAAGTCACACTATAGAGTGGGTGCCACTCAAGCAATAAACCTGCTCCTTGTGGCTGCCCGCCATTCTTCATGGTGTTGTGTAGTGTTTCAGATGTGGAAACAAATGGACGGAAGTCCCAGGTCATTCAGGGGTAACACCAGCATCTTCAATTGACCCTGGAAACTAGGAACTGTTGTAGATGAAAAAACGAGGCCTAGCACTTTCCAGGTAAAAAAACAACACAACAACCCGGCCACTTTGATACGCTACTTTAGTTCCCACATTTCTCTCCTTCCACACTTGGTGGACATCCACATGTTGGAGTCTAGCTCCCATCAGCCCCCAGCGGCCAGCAGGAAGGATTGCTAGGAGTTGTGATCCAACAACATGTGCCGGGACAAAGGTTTCCCAGCGCAGCCCTTCAGCTTCCTTCGGGAAAGTTGCCAGTGGATTGTTTTTTGCAGCTTGATCTGAACCACATTTAGCAAGAACACCTTATTGCATTTAGTGGAGGTTATTTTTTTAGTTAAGTCTGCATAGGTTTGCAGTCTTTATTATTTACTTGTGGATTTATTTCCTGCCATTTAACAAAAAATAAAGCAATGAAAGGAGCAGCAAAATCAAAAAGTGAACCTGCTAAGACTATACACTCCTTTGGCAGAGGCACTGAATGGAACAGGCAGGCATAGCGTGTCACCCTAAGTATTTTGTCCTCTTTCCCCAAGGTATTACTGCCTGAGTGCTCTTGTAAAACACTAATCTTGTTCTGCCCACTGAAAGTAGTTCACAGGTGAGCACTGGGTCATGTCAAAGAGGCAATGCATATTGCTGGACACTGCACTGCCCCCTGGTGCTTAAAGGAATAAGTGTACAAAAAGATTTGAGCCTGACTAGGGACACAATAGGGACGCGGGTGGCGCTCTGGGTAAAAGCCTCAGCGCCTAGGGCTTGCCGATCGAAAGGTCGGCGGTTCGAATCCCCGCGGCGGGGTGCGCTCCCGCTGCTCGGTCCCAGCGCCTGCCAACCTAGCAGT